ACCTTGACCAATAGGAAGAATGCTATTATGTCTACTAATTTCCCCCCCTCCTAGTTTCCCACACATGAGGAGGTGGCAGCATTGAAGCTTCCAGCCTAATATGGCTTCCAAGGCTGACAGGCATGACAGGCTGACCCCCCCTGCAGAAAGAACCACATCCTGAAAAATAAAACAGACAAAATACAAAAGGAGGGGTTTTCGTTTAGCACCAATCCCTTTAACCACCACCCCCTCCCCAGGAGGACCTTTCAGTTTGTCCGGAAATTTGTCATGAAACTGTTTCACAAGTGCATCAGTCTTCACATCCCAACTCTTAACCCAAGTAGCTTCAGTCAAAGGGTAGCCTTTCCAGTGCACCAAATATTGTAATCGACCCCTGTAGAGTCTAGAGTCCAGGATTTTCTTCACCTCATAATGAGTCTCCCCTTGTATTACTAAAGGAGGGGGCGGAGCAGCTGGCAAAGGTCTGAGGGTAGATTCTCTGACTGGTTTCAATAAGCTACTGTGGAAAACGGGGTGTATTTTCCCTAATATTTGAGGGAGTCTAAGTTGGACAGTCACTGGGTTAATCACTTTCACTATAGGAAAGGGACCTATGAATTTGGGTCCAAACTTCTTGCTGGGCACCCTCAATCTTAGGTACTTGGTTGACAAATACACCTTATCACCTATTTGGAAAGGTGGTTGGAGACCCCGGTGTTTGTCGGCCTGGGCCTTATATTTTTCCGCTGACTCTGCTAAAGCCTTTTTAGTATTCTCCCAACCCTTTTTCAATGAGGTCCTCCAGTCCGTTAAGGACATGGAAGTGGGCGGCTCTCTAGGCAATTCAGGCATCGGCACAAAATCCATGCCTGTAGTTATTTGAAAATGAGTCAACCCAGTACTGCTGTGTACTGCATTATTATAAGTGACTTCTGCGAATGGTAGCAAGTCCGCCCAGTTCTCCTGTTGATAATTCAGATAACACCTAATGTACTGTTCCACCATTGAGTTCAATTTTTCAGCCGATCCATTAGTCGATGGGTGAAAAGCCGAGCTATATCCCTGGGATGACCCAGGGATCGTAGAAACTCCCTCCAGAACTTAGCGGTAAACTGGACCCCGCGGTCTGATATTATTCTTCTTGGGACTCCATGTAGCCTGTAGATGTGTTTCACAAACAGCTTTGCCAGTTTTTTGGCTGAGGGTAGTCCGCTGCAGGTAGTGAAGTGGGCTTGCTTGGAGAATAGATCAATGACAGTCCAAATGACCCGTTTGCCCCCACTGTCAGGGAGCTCAACTATGAAATCCATCACAATCTCCTCCCAGGGCTTGGTGGGTGGGGCCACCGCCTGGAGAAGTCCAGGGGGCTTTCCTGGTCGGTATTTCACAGTGGCACAGGTGGCACAGCTCCTCACATAGTTTTCCACATCAGTTTTCATCTTCGGCCACCAGAATTGCCTCCTAGTCAAATGGAGGATTTTTAAAAACCCAAAGTGGCCCCCTAGGTGAGAATCATGACTTCTCTTCAGTACCAGGAGCCGCAGGCTGTGGGGCACATAAAGTTTACTCCCCTTCCATGCCAACCCGTCCCTTAGGGTTAGGTCCGCCTGGTTTTCTTTGAACCAGGAGTCATTAGAGAGCGCCGCTTTTAACTCTGCTGTCAACTTGTCTTCAGGGAGATTAGAACCCTGGCGCGTTTGTGCTCTGATGCATGCTTGGGCGGCTGGCTGAGTCTCTGAGATCATGGCATGAACTATCTCTTCCCATCGGCTGTCAAATTGGGGCTTGCAGGGGAGAGCATCAGCCAGAAGGTTCTTACCCCCCGGGATATATTTCAGGTTAAAGTTAAAGCGTTTGAAATATTGAGCCCAACGAACCTGCTTTGGAGAAAGTTTCCTTGGGGTCTTCAGTGCCTCAAGATTCTTGTGGTCAGTCCAAACCTCAAAAGGCTCCTCCACCCACTCCAGGAAGTGTCTCCAGGACAGAAGAGCCCATCGCACTGCAAACGCCTCCTTTTCCCATACCGCCCATCTGCGCTCAGTGTTTGTTAACTTCCTTGATACATAAGCACATGGCATTAGATTGTTCTGGGGGTCCCTTTGTAGTAGAACAGCCGCCACCGCCACATCACTTGCATCCGCCTGAACCACGAAGGGCTTATTCGGGTCAGAATGCTGTAGGATCGGCTCCACCGCAAATAGGCGTTTTAACTGTTCAAAGGATTTTTGGCAGTCCATTGTCTAAGCTAAGGGCTGGCTAGGTTTTGGCTTGGTGGGAGACAGGCCAGTTTTTAGCAATTCTGTCAAAGGGAGTGCAACCTCAGCGAAGGAAGGGATGAATTGTCTGTAAAAGTTTGCAAATCCCAGGAAGCTCTGGAGTTGCTTATGGGTGTCTGTGGGCTGCCAATCCAGTACTGCCCTCACCTTCTCTGGGTCCATTTCGATCCCCTTATTCGACACCCTGTATCCCAGGTAGTCAAGGGCTTCTTTATGGAACTCGCATTTGGACAATTTTGCATAAAGTTTGGCTGCTAGGAGTTTTTTCAGCACTTGTCTGACCAATTTGACTTGGTTTTCCATATTTTCCCTGAATATAAGAATGTCACCGAGATAAACAAGAACCCCCTGATACAAATGCTCATGCAAAATTTCATTGATCAGTTTCATGAAGACCCCTGGGGCCCCCTAGAGTCCAAAAGGCATGACCCGGAATTTGAAGCTGCCCAAGGGGCAGTTAAAAGCAGTCTTCCATTCGTCTCCCTCCTTTATGCGAACTCGGTAGTAGGCTTCTCTTAGATCTAGCTTAGCGAAAAATTTTCCTTTTGATAGGTGGTTCAGTAAGTCCTTCATCAGTGGGAGGGGGTAGGTATTTTGTATGCAAATGGCATTGACAGACTGAAAATCGATACATAACCTTAAAGTACCATCTTTTTTCTCTTTAAACAATACTGGGGCGGCCATGCTGTATTTCGCAGGCTCTATGAACCCTCTGGCTAGGTTGATGTCAATGTACTGCCTCAACTCAGTCGTCTCAGCAGGTGTCATGGAGTACATTCTAGGTTTTGGCAGTTTGGCCCCCGGTTGTAATTTGATGGCGCAGTCTGTGGGCCAGTGAGGGGGGAGGAGGTTACATTCCTCCTCACTGAAGGCTTCGGCTAAGTCTGCATACACTTTAGGGATTTGGTGTTCGCCTGGAGGCCCGTTTGAACAAGCTGCTGCTGTTTCTGGCCGCTGGTCATTCTGGGTAGGTGGATTTTTGTGGGGAGGGGCAGGGGGTGTTGGGCCAACCCCTATTCTGATTTTTCGGTATCCATCTTCCCATGTGATGGTGGGGCCCCATTTGTCCAGCCAAGCCAGGCCCAGTATGATAGATTCTGACATCTTTGGGGTTACTATAAATCGTATAAGTTCATGATGTTTCCCCATCTCTAATTTGATCAGTTCACTAATATGGGTGGCAGGGACTCCCCCAATCAATGTCCCATCCATCTGGTGAAATTTAATCAGGTGCTTTAAGGGTGTTGTTCTGATCCCCAGCTGTTCTACCACTTTAAACCTGATTAAACATCTGGTGCAGCTGGTATCTATTATTGCTGGGAGTTCTGCTTGTTTCCCTGTTTCTAGCAGCACTAGTTTTACTTTAATTGAGAAGGGGGAGATGGGTGCACTCACCATCGGGTCTTCATCTCCGCTAGTCACGTTGGGAGGGGCTCCTTTTGCCGGAGGGTCCTCGCTCACTTCAGTGGAGAGGGGAATCTCCATGGCTTCTCTGGCAAATCATCTGGTGTCTGGGGCTTTCCTTGGAGCCCTCCTGCCTCGTGCAGCTGTGGTGGGTCGTTGTTGTGGAACTGGGGCAGGGGCCAGGCACTCAGAAGCTCGATGTCCTGTCTGTCCACAGCAATAGCACTTAATCACACCCCCCCCGGTTGAAGGGGGGTGAGATTTGTAGCTTTTGAAATGGGCTTTCTAGATAACGTTTTTCGAGGCGGCTGGGGTTTGGCTGGGGGGGGGACATCTCTGTATAGAGCAATGGACATGGTATACCAGTCGTGGAGACGCTCAGGCACCCCCCGGATCCCACAGGCTTTTCTGACTTCTGGGTCAATAGCTTCTTTAAAGTAGTGCAGGAGTATGCGGTCAGGCCAATGGCCTAGATTCCCTGCAACTCATCTAAAGTCCTATACAAAGTCTTTTATAGGTCGATTACCTTGCTTCATGACCTCTAGCGTTTAGCGTTTTCATTTACGCGGTCTGGGTCTTCAAATCGGGACCGGAGCAGTGTGATAAACCCATCGGCATCATTCAGTTCAACAGCGCCCTCATTATGCAGCTGGGCTATCCATTCAGAAGCCTCTCCCTCATTCATTCCATCTGAGATTGCCAACACTAAGTCCTATTCTGATTCGTATTGCTCACCATACTGATTCATGTGAGCCCAGATCCTGCTGAGGAAATAAACTAGCTTGGCTGGCGTCCCGTCAAAGGTTGCTCTGAAGTGGGGGGGGGGGCAGCGGCCATGGCTGGTTGGGGTAGGGCTTGCTGTGGGGCTGCTCCTGGTTGTTGCATTCCAACAGGCTGTTGCATTTCAACAGGCTGGTGTAAAGCTTGCTGGGCTGGAGAGGGGGGCACTCCAGCCGGCTGCTGGATTAGTCCCCCCTGCGGTGCCAGGATCGTTTGGCTATAGGAGGGGGGCCAGGGGGATCCCTGGAAGGTTGGAACAGATGGCGCGGGATACCACTGGCACTAGATCCATCCCTGGCCGGGACAGAAAGCCCATCCGGGCGGTATGCTCTCCGCAGGAGGTAATGCTAATGCAGGCTGGCGAAGGGCCCAAAAAGGGGGGTTTTGCCTTCCGTATGCTGGCTGAGCCTGATGCCCCACTGCTGCAGGATTGGAATGTTGCGCTAATCCTGTTGTTTGGCCTCTGGGTGGATAAGGGGGGGTCTTCATCCTACGAATCCCCCCTCCATGTCCCGGATCAGGGAGGGCGAATGTTGGTTTCGCTAGCCTCCAGCTCACCTCCAGTGGTTGGGAAGGGGGGGGTGAAGCTCCCCATTTCCATCCGCTCAAAACTCTCCCAGGAATCTGATGCCTCGGCCCAAACCCCAAGTCGAAGGGCTTCCTCTGCAGCCCCCATGGCTCGTCCCATCTCTTCAGAAAGAGCATGCAAGGGATCGGCAATTCCTCGAGCATCCGGGGGCCTGGCAGGCCTCCCTCCGATTTCTCCTTTCTCCTCCATCTTCACCGAGTCTTTGCATCACCCAGGGTTTTAGGTCGATGCTGGGGCTCAGTACTCCTGACAGCCCCCTTACAGGGTGCTGTTAGGTTTTAGAGAGATTCGGGATAATGTCAACGTTCTAGAAAACCCCCAACTCCCAGTAAAGAAGCAAGCATTTTCCAAAGTTCTCTTTACTAGAATAGGTACATCTGGGAAATCCCGAATCCCGACTTTCCTTCAGTAAGTCAAAGCTCCCAAAACCATCCCCCTTCTCCCCAGTCGATCACATGCTCCAATCAACGTCTGTTCCACCTCGACCCAACCCCTGACCTTGACCGATAGGAAGAGTGCTATTATGTCTACTAATTCCCCTCTCCTAAATCCCCCCTCCTACTTTCTCACACATGAGGAGGTGGCAGCATTGAAGCTTCCGGCCTAATATGGCTTCCAAGGCTGTCAGTTTACTTTGTCACATGCCTAAGTAAACTATGTCCACAGTGTTTCTTTGATCCAGTGATTTAGTCACTTTGTCAAATAATGCAAAAAGGTTTGTTTGGCATGATCTCTTTTTGACAAACCCATGTTGGCTTCTAGTAATAGCTTTGCTTGTTTCTAAGTATTTGCAGATCCATTGGTTGATTATCTTTTCCAGGATCTTCCCAGATATTGATATCAGGCTGACTGGTCTATAGTTTCCTGGATCCATTTTTTCTCTCATTTTGAGGATTGGAACCACATCAATTCTTTTCCAGTCCTCTGGTAGTTCCTCGCTGCTTCAGGATATTTGAAAGCTATTGTTCAGTGGTTCTGCAATCATGTCAAGAAACTTTTTTTGAAATTATATTTGAACTGGTTTGCAAGTCTTAACTGATTTTCATCCTTAGCTTTTCTGACTTTGTGTTTGCAGATTTGGGCATTATGCTGGTATATTATGTGTCCCTGTTATCACTTTTTATATTCATCCTTTTTGACTATCAATATATGAGAGAGTTCTTTAGGTATCCATGCTGATTTCATCTGGGGTCTCTTATTTTTCTTTCTTAGTGGTAGTCTCAAAGGTGCTTTTTCAAGAAGCAACTGGACTTTCTGGTTTTTCTTTGAAGACATTTCACTTCTCATCCAAGAAGCTTCTTCAGCTCTGACTGGGTGGTGGGAGAATTCCATTCCATTCCCCACCATCCAATCAGAGCTGAATAAGCTTCTTGGATGAGAAGCGAAATGTCTTCAAAGAAAAACCAGAAAGTCCAGTTGCCTCTTGAAACAGCACCTTTGGGACAACCATGGCCTGGATGACTGAAAATCTCCATAGACATTTTTCAGTGGTATTGTGCTAGACTGAGTTTTTATAATCTCTTTTTTATGAATTTCCCAAGCTTCTTGAGTTGTTTTCCCCTTTGAGATTTTTATCCACAGAATCCTTCCTAAGTTCTAAGTTTGTTGAAACCAGTTCTCTTAAAGTCTAAGATGCTCATTTGACTTTATTATTTGTGCATGCGTCTTGCTTTCTCAAATGTTTTTCCTAAGCCTTCAGGAATGTTGACAAGTCTACTAAGGACTTGAATAAATACAAAAGATTTTTGCTTTTTGTTTTTATTTAAAACTTAAAATTCTTGTGTATTTATACTCCTGACAGGTCTTAAATAGTAGTGTACCTGTGCCTATTGGAAAATCAGATCAAATTCCTTGTTATCAGTTCTACATTCTTATCAAGATATATTGTTCTCCCTATTCCAACAACCTTGTGGAGCAGTAATGGGTTTCAATTTTGGCCGCTACCAATTTGCTCATGGGCACACACACATGCAACACTTCTGCGCATGTGCAGAGATGTCCAAGTGGGTGGGCGGAGCCTCCCACCGCTACTGGTTCACCCGATCCGGGGCAAACTGGTAGCAACCCACCACTGTTGTGGAGGGAGTGAAACATCTTTAACCCTAATATTGATAGAAATGGATACAGTAGAGATACTTACAGAATACAGAACAATAGAGTTGGAAGGGACCTTGGAGGTCTTCTAGTCCAACACCCTGCTCAAGGCAGGAGTGTCTATACCATTTTATTTATTTATTTGTTTGTTTGTTTGTTTATTTATTTCATCAAGTATGTGTTAGATAACAGATATAAGTATAAAGCACACATAATTTCTGAAGGCAAGCTGTTCCTAGTTAATTGTTAATTGTTCTCACTATCAGGAAGTTTCTCCTTATTTCTAGGTTGCTTCTCTCCTTGATTATTTTCCATCCCTGTTTCTTGTCTTGCCTTCTGGTGCTTTGGAAAATAGGTTGACCCTTTCTTCCTTGTGGCAGCTTCTCAAATATTGGAAACTACTATCATATCCTACCTAGTCCTTCTTTTCTGTAGACTAGCTATACCCAATTCCTGTAACGGTTCTTCATATGTTTTGGTCTCCAGGCCCTTAATCATCTTAGTTGCTCTTCGCTGCAGTTTTTCCAAAGTCTCAACATCTTTTTTTTTTTTTTTGGTGACCAAAACTGGTTGCAGTATTCCAGATGTGGTCTTGCTAAGGTTTTATAAAATGGTAATAATAACTTCACATGATCTTGATCACATGATCTATCACTTTATGCAACCAAGAATTGCATTGGCTTTTTGGACTGCTGCCAAAAAAGTAATGACTGCTGGCTCATTATTAAGTGATTGTCCACTAGGACTCAAGAACCCCCTCACAATTACTGCTATTGAACCAAGTTTCACTTAATCTGTACCTCTATATTTGTTTTGGGTTTGTTTGTTTGTTTGTTGTTGTTGTTGTTTTTGCTTAAGTGTAAAACTTTACTTTTCCCTACATTAAATTTCATTTTGTTGAATAGAGTTCAAATCTGTCAAGATCCATTTGGTCCTGAGCTTATCATCTGAGGTGTTGTCTATTTCTGCCAGTTTAGTGTCACCTGCAAATTTGATGAGTTCCCCTTCTATTCTCTCATCTAAGTCATTTATGAAGGTATTGAAGAGTACTGGGCCTAAAACAGAACTTTGGGATACCCCAATGCTTACTTCACTCAAGGTAGATGTTGTACGATTAAAGACTACATGTCGAGTGTGGTTTGTCAGCCAATTATGAATCCATCTAGCGGTGATGTTATCTATCCCATATTTTTCTAGTGTATCAAGAAATAGGTTGTATTCAATTTTGTTGAATGCCTTGCTGAAATCAAAGTATACTATGTCCATAGCATTTTGGTGGTCTACTAATTTAGTCACTTTGTCAAAGAATGAAATAAAATTTGTTTGGCATAACTTGTTTTTGACAAACCCATGTTGGCTTCTGGTTATAACTTTACTTTCTTCTAGTTTTGGCAGCTCTGTTTTTTTATTATCTTTTCCAGGATCGTTCCAGGTATTGATATCAGGCTGATTGGTCTATAGTTTCCTGGACCTGTTTTTTCACTTTTTTGTAGATGGGAATCACATCAGCTCTTTTCCAGTTCCAGGTAGTTCCCTGGAGACACTCCAGGATCTTTGAAAGATATGGTTCAATCTTTCTTTATCTTTCTTTATCTTTATTTGATTTGTATACCGCCTTACTCCCGAAGGACTCAGGGCAGTGAATAGCCAAACAGTAAAATACATAAATACAAAATTTAAAAACAGGATAAAATCAAATTAAACAATTTGGCCCAGACAAATTAAAACACCCCAATCATTTAAAAACAGATTAAAATTTGCATATTAAAAAGAAAAGAGGGAAAAGATTAGGCCAGGCCCGCCTGGTGGAATAAAAAGGTCTTCAAAGCGTGGCGGAAGGTGCGCAGATCCGGGATCCTCCGTATCTCCGGGGGGAGCTCATTCCAGATAGTAAGTGCCCCCACAGAGAAGGCTCTCCCCCTAGGGCTGCCAGTTGACATTGTTTGGCTGATGGCACCCGGAGGAGCCCCTCTCTATGAGAGCATACCGGCCGGTGGGAGGCTATTGGTGGTAGTAGGTGGTCCCGTAGGTAACCAGGTCCTAAGCCATGGAGCGCTCTAAAAGTGGTAACCAGAACCTTGAAGCACACCCGGAAGACCACCGGGAGCCAGTGCAGCTCGCGCAGGAGAGGAGTTACATGGGAACGCCATGTCGCTCCCATTACCACCCGCGCGGCCGCACTCTGTGCCAGTTGGAGCCTCCGGGTGCTCCTCAAGGGGAGCCCCATGTAGAGAGCGTTACAATAGTCCAGGCGGGAAGTGACGAGGGCATGAGTGACCATGCGTAAGGAGTCCCGATCCAGAAAGGGACGCAACTGGCAAATCAGGCGAACCTGATGAAAAATCCTCCTGGTCACGGCCGTCAAATGCTCTTCTAAAGAGAGCCGTGAATCCAGGAGGACGCCCAAGTTGCGAGCCCTCTCCGTGGGAGCCAATGATTCACCCCCAATAGTCAGTGATGGTGCCAACTGACTATATCAGGACATCGGAAACCACAGCCACTCGGTCTTGGACGGGTTGAGCTTGAGCCTATTCCTCCCCATCCAGATCCGCATGGCCTCCAGGCATTGGGACATCACTTCAAGGGCATCGTTGGGGTGATCCGGGGTGGAGATGTACAGCTGGGTGTCATCAGCGTACTGGTGGTACTTCACCCTGAAATCACAGATGATCTCGCCCAGTGGCTTCACATAAATGTTGAACAGAAGGGGCGAGAGGACCAACCCTTGTGGCACTCCCCATGTGAGACGCCTCGAGGTCGACCTCTGCCCCCCTGCCAACACGAACTGCGAGCGGTCGGAGAGGAAGGGGAGAACCACCGCAGAACGGTGCCCCCTATTCCCCTATTGCCACCACACTCTCAACAACCTTTGCCACAAAACGAAGGTTGGAGACCGGACGGTAGTTAGCTAATTGAGCCGGGTCCAGGGAAGGCTTCTTGAGGAGGGGCCTCACCACCGCCTCTTTCAAGGTGGCGGGAAAGGCACCCTCACTCAGAGAAGCAGTCATAATCCCCTGGAGCCAGCCTCGTGTAACCTCCTGGGAGGCCAGTACCAACCAGGAGGGACACGGGTCCAATAAACATGTGGCGGCATTAATCCTACCCAGAACCCTGTCCACATCCTCGGGAGCCACAGGATCAAACTTCTCCCAGATAATATTCTCAAGACCTGCCCCTGTCTCCTCCCCTGGACTCATCCAATCGGAGTCCAAGCCATCCCGAATCCGAGCGACTTTATCATGCAGAAATTGCACAAAATCCTCAGCGTGGCCCTGCAAGGGATCTTCCCGCACTCCCCCC